AGAAAATGACTTTAGAAAAGTTTCTTCAGTTACTGTCTTGGCCAAGGTAGGACTGTACTGCACTCAAACAGCTTTACTGGAAAGACAGTCTCCAGACTGTGAGTCAGATCATAAAGCCTTACGCACAAGAAGCGATTCCCACATTCCAAACTAACGACAATAAGACATGATATTCCAGGTGCAGGCTGTGGAATACATACACGAAATAAAACACAAATGTGCTTTGGCAAACATTATTTAGGGCATACCAATGGCTTTACATTGAGCCTTGTAAATAGAAACAGTAAGTCCTTTTTGCATTGGGGTCTCAGGATCCTCTGGGGCCAGTTTTAGTTGTTATGCATACCAGCTAATGTTTAAGATTTGGAAAAAAAAAACCCAAGAAACCCCCATCTTCTTGGTTTCACTATTTAGATTCAATCAGCTCACATGCCAAGCACCTGGAGGAAGAAAAATTAATTCCAAACATAAAACAAAATTTTATTCAAAAGGGAAAAAAAAAATTTTGAACAACCGGAAAGCTTAGATTTTTAACATCTTTAATTATCTTGGAGGCCATAAATCAAATCCTATAATGGGAAGAATATATGAGTTTGAAAGTTGTTTCACAGGAACAATGGGGGCCATATCTGCAAATGGTCAGAGAGCTCTGCAGCCATTAATCACTATTGTCTGGATTGCACAATTCCCAATCATTAGGCTGTGAGACACTCAGCTTGAAATTATGGCCCTTTCTATTTCCAATAGATCAATTCCAAGACCCAGCTGTATTCTCTCCGTCAATGGAAGTTAAAAGCCCAGGGGATGAGGAGGTCAGATATATTGGCCCCAGCAGCATGAAACTTTACATCTTTGCAAAAAGCATGAAGTATTATTTTTCCATACAAAACAGGCATGTAGTTTCAAACAAAATTACTCCACTTATTCTTTCTCTACAATCTCCTAATTATACAATTTCAATTTTCTTCCTTCTCTATTCCTCCCAGCCCTCTAAATACTGGTTACATCACTTTCAGAGATGAGTATAACTTTTTTTTAAAAAAAAGCTTAGTTGACAGAAAACTGGTCTCTTGAAGACAATTAAATCAATCACAAAGGGAGCTGAAATAGATATGGTCTCTACTTAAGTTTAATGTTTGCTGCAAGTGGCAGCCTGGAGGATTGGGAGCAATTTAAAACCTAAAGATGGGCCAAGAAACTGATTAAGGAAGGTAAAAGAAAACGTGAATGCAAACAAACAAGGAACAAAGGTGGAAATCTAAAAGTTATTTCAGATATGGGAAAAGGAAAGGATCAGCTCAGACAAATGTGAGCCAATTACAGTGGGGTAGCAGAGCTTACGGTGAAAAAACACTGAAATGCAAAACAATTACTTTGTTTTAGACTTCAGAGAAGATCATTCAGAAAATCTCTCAGAAATACTCAGCATCCCAGATGACTTGCGAAACTGTGGAACAGAAATAAATTAGCATTACTGAAGGGGTTAGTATTTAAAAAGGTTAATTAGATTGAAAATCCCCTAGATCAGATGAGCTTCATCCTACAGTGTTAAAGGAAGTAGCTATAGAGGTAATGGATACATAGTGGTCATCTTTCAAAATTCTATAAATTCTGCAAATGGAAAATAACAAATGTAACCTCAAAATTTAAGAAAGGAGGGAGAGAGGTGCTGAAGAACTACAACCCTGTTAGTTTCCTGCCAGTAGATGGGAAAATAAGAAGAATCTATTATAAAACCTGCAATAATTTGACATTTAGAAAAAAATTGGTGAAATTGGGCAAAGTCAACGTGGATTTATGAAAGGGAAACAGTGTTTCATAAACTTGTCCTTATTTTTTAAGAATATCACTTCTGGCATAGATCAAGGAGAACCAGTGGATGTGGTTTATTTGGATTTTCAGAATGCTTTTGATAAATTAGACCTAGTAGGATTGGTTGGGGGAAGTGTATGAGTATTGAGAATTGGCTAACAAACACAAAGCAGAGAGGAGGAATAAATAGATCATGCTGTGGATGACAGGCCCTACTAGTGGAATTCCACAATAGTCAGTGCTATGTTCACAATCTCACTCAATAATCTAGATGTAGGGTTCAATATGATATTTCTTTTACTGATGACACCACACTGGGTGGGAACATAAATTGTAAGGGGCATGCAAGGGGGTTGGAACAGGATTTTTACAGGCTTAGCGAGTAGACAGCTGTGGACAGTTTTGATATGTACTGCCAAGGCTATAAAACACTCGTCAGACCACATTTGGAATACTGAAAGCAGTTTTTGGCCCCGTATCTAAGAAAAGATGGACTGGCCTTGGAGAGGGTCCAAAAGAGGTTTACAAGTATGATCCTGGTAATGAAGGTCTTGTTAAATAAGTAGTGGTTGAGCACTCTGGGTCTGTACTCAATGGATTCTAGAAAGATAAGGGGGATCTCATTGAAACATATATACAGAACAGAGAGGTCGGAATCTTAACTGCTCAAGTAGTGAGTGACAGGCTACCAGCGATAATCATATCCCATCCTATTTGATAAAATGCCCCAAATGAATATTGTGTAAAACAAATGATTGTGGCGTAGGAGTGTGGCATATTAGCATGGAGAGAAGACAGACTGGCTAACAGGAAGCATAGAGTAGGGACAAATGGGTCTTTTTAACGTTAGCAAGATGCAACAAGTGGTGTGTCACAGAGATCAATGCCCATTCATGTCAATGACTTAAAGGAAGGGATAGAAGGTATGGTCACCAAATTCACCAAAGAGAGATAGAAAACCAAGTTGTGAAGAGGACGCAAGGAAGTTTCAAAAATACATTGCTAGCTTACATTTGTAGACAAAGATATGGCATATTGAGTATAATTTGGTAAGATGTAAACTTGTCAATTTTGGCAGAAAATATAAAAATGAAGCATATTACCTAAACGGTGAGAGATTATAGAGCTCTGAAATGTAGAGGATTCTGGCTGTTCTAAAGTGTACAATATTAGCATGCAGATACATTTACTATAAAGGGGAATTGAATAATATGTAGGAAGATTATACTTCACTCATGTCAGGCACTATTAGATACCTTGAGCAGAGTGCTCAGTAATGGTCTCCTTATTGAAGGAAGAATATATATGCATTGGTGGCAGTTCACAGAAAGTTTACTAGACTGATACCTCAAATGAGCAGGCTGTCATACAAGAATGGGTTGGACAGGCTAGGCCTGTATCTGCTGGTGTTTAGAAGTGTAAGAGGCAACTTGATCCAGAAACAAAAAATCCTGAAGAGTCTTCGCGGAAGAGATGCAGAGAGGACATTCCCTCTTCCTGGAGATTCTGGAATTAGCGGTCATGGTTTAAAAATGAGGGGGCACCCAGTTAAAACAGAGATTAGGCAATTTCCTTTCTCTCCAAGAGTTTCAAGTCTTTGAAACGTTCTCCTCAAAAAAAAAGGTGGTGGGAGCAGAGATTTTGAATATTTTCTGGGCAGGGGTAGGCAGAATCTTGTTAAGCACGAGGGTGAAGGGTTATCGGAAGTGGGCAGACATGTGGATTTGAGGTTACCCTCAGACCAGCCATGACCTTGCTGAATGGCGAAGTAGGCTCAAGGGGCTGAATGGCCTACTCTTGCTTCTGAACTGTTCACACGAATAAACGTACAAACGGGAAAGAACAGTGTTCTGGATTCGGTACTGTGGACATTGACCGTGATGATGCTAGGCGTGAGGGCCCTCAGTTATGTCAACAAATTCGAGAAACTACAATATTCTTCTTAGAGCAGAGAGGGAGATGTAGCTGACATTTTCAAAACTACATCAAGATTTGATGGTTTGTTCCCAACCCCTCTACTTCCACTGGTTCAGGAACCATTGGGAACAGATTTTGGCAAAAAAATTGAGGTGAATCAAGAAAAAAATTTCTCCAGAGAAATGACTGTTAACATTTAGAAGAGACTAATTGAACGAGTGGTGGCATTAGATCCCAGAGGAACCTGCAAAGGACAACTGGACCCATACATGAGAAAGTATAATTTGCAGTGCTGTAAGGAAAAGGAGAGAACTCCAAGAGCCAAATGTGTCTACTCTGCGAGTTTTTATAACACATCAGACCATTTAAAAAAAAAGAACCCAACAGAGAGAACACTGGCACATTCATTACAGATATCCATGTCTAATAGATTTCAGTGTTTAGCTGTATTGGAGCCACAAATAAGGGATGCTGAGAAATGGCATCTTTGGAATAGGGATATTTTGGTTTTAAGCGTGATTGAGGACACCAAATTTACATTGAAAAACGATCATTTATACCAAGACAAAAAAATGCTCAAATGCACTTTAATTATTCGAGCTGAGCAACTACTTCTTAACTTGAAATGGTAATTCTTCTAGGAAGTGACTTGGAGCTTTTAATATGTTAGAAAGTGCTCTATAAATGCAAGTATTTATAATTGTTACATTCTGAAATTATTCAAAGTAGACATCACTATCACCACTAAACCATTAGAATTATTGAGAACGAACTGACAACATATTTTGCTTAAGGGCACAATGTCTCACTGAAAGATAAACTGAGAGGTAAAGTGCATAAAACAGGCATTTTGAGATAACAAGGTGTAGAGCTGGATGAACACAGCAGGCCAAGCAGCATCAGAGGAGCAGGAAGGCTGACGTTTCGGGCCTAGACCCTTCTTCAGAAAAATGTTTACTTGTTTTCAAATTACCCTTCGTTGTGTTTTGCTGGATATCTGCAGATTTGCATTTATATTTGATCCAAGTGCAATTCAAGGACCACAAAAAGTACAATTCTCAAATGGATTTGTATACTTTCCTCGCTGTGTAAAAGGAAAGTAGTCAACATCTCTTATTCCACAAAAATTGTTAGCAAACGAATATCTGGAAAAGTATTCAATTTCATGCTAGTTTTGATCCACAAGCCCACCTTGGACAAATAACAATACTCCAAATATCAATGGAGGAAAAGACAGCGAGTTCAAGGATTTCATATTTTTAAAAAAATACCTAGTAACACCCAGTGGATCAGAAATTTCTTCAATCTTCTCCACAGTAGGAACAAGAGTTTTTGATGATCTCAGCACTCCAACATCTTCAAAGGTCTCTTGGTTGAAGAAATCTCCAGAATCATCTCCATCTTCTTGCAATTCCTCATCTGTAGAATTTCTAGTTTTAAATTTCAAATCACCAAGGTCTTTCGTTTTTGCTCCTATTAAGACAAAAAAAGTCAATTAATTTTTCTACAATTAGCAAGTTAACAAACTAAATGTAAAATGCCAGCAAACAGACATTTTGAATCATTGTCCTGGACACAGAGCACCATATCACACTCTGCAAAACAATATTGCACATATCTAGCAAGAGAAGAAAATAAACCTTAAACATTATGCACAAGAACTATTGCAGCAGATCATTACAGGTAGAGCTGACCTGATGGTTATATTCTACACACACTAGATTCCAAAATTCACTTTGACTCTCACCAGTTCCTAATCTCCAGTTCAAAGCTTCTACCTTCCTTCATATTGTAACCAAAAACATCCTGATAAAGTAGTAAATATGCCAGTGTCTCCACAGCAAAATTATTGTAGTATGTATCTTGGGGAAAAAGTTAATCCATCTGAAAAAAATGTACACAGAACTGAGCAAGATGTCTCCCACAAGTCACATGACTGTCCTTGTTGATTCACTATAGCCTCAAAAATAGAGTGTTCTCAAAGGGAGACATTTAGACAAAAAAAGAAAACAAAGAATTGTGGATGCTGGCAATCTGAGACAAAAACAAAGAACCTCAGTAGATCTGGCAGCATCCATGGAAAGAAAGCAGAGTCAACGTTTCAAGTCCAGTGACCCTCCTTCAGAACTGGAGACATTCAGCAATTGATTAATCTTTAGACAACACAATGGATCTTTCTAAAAGGTGAGAGAATACAAACTGAGAAAAACAGCAGACTATGAGGACAGCACAGGAAGTTCCAGCATAACTCAGTTTATTGATGAATCATTCTTCAAAGTTAACATAGCAGCCATTTTGCTTTGGCTGTGATAAGACACACTGTGATACACCATTTTGTCACAGCTCCAGGAATTCTGAGATTCACCATCTGGGAGAACGAGAGCGACAGGCAGCATTCTTTGCCAAAGGGAGCACAAAGAGAAAGGCTTTTGCAAGAAATCTAGTATTTTGCCAAATAAAGTCCATACAATCTGCAAATGCTGTAACTGCACAGCTACTGACGAACAAGAAAATCTTATCTCTCTATCTACCAAGATCATCAATAGAAGGAACATCTAATTATGTGAATACAGAATTCACAGCTACGATGGCGACTGACGTCACATTTTCAATCTCCATTTCTTTAGAACGAGAATACCCAAGTAAGTATTTGGCCTATCATGATAAGAGGCTGATATTACATTTCTCTTCATAAACATTTTTCAATATGTACTTTTACTTAATCTTCGAATCTGCATTTTAGCTAATAACCGTGACGATCTTTACTTAGTAAATTTAGTGGTGGTTCCACAATTAACTAAACTCTGATCTTGTTTAAGACTAAAGCTTTGTTGCTGCATTTTTTTGTTAAACTGATATAGTGAGAAAATGAGGAGTGTAAATGAGCAATACAAATTTGTAGTTCATGGACCACCTGAGAACCAGATGGCGTGGTTGTGAAACCATGCTTGTCAGTTTCAAGAAGTAGTGGGGGTGGCACTGATACGCAATCCTTAAAACAAGAATAATATTTGTCCCATCATCCGAGATCTACATGGGCACTTTTCAAAAGAGAACAAAGGAAAGAAAAATATAACTGGACATATCCCACTCCTTGATAATGGAAGCCAATTGCCACATTCCACCCATCACCACATTTGAGATGTTAATTGAGCAAAGAGCAGAGATTCAACAGAGAAACTTTACCAGTGAGCATGATTTATACTTTTCACCTCAACCCATCAGGAAAAACTAATTTAAAATTTCTAAAATCACACCTTTAATTTCTGGGGCACTATTGTAGTTGTTCCAGTCTTCTGGTGCCAATATCTTTTCAAACTGCTTAATTTGCATCTCTAACAAGTGAGACTTACCACAACTCTCAAAATGATACGATCTGCATGCAAGCACAATTTGCCAATTTATTTTCCAATTATTTCACAGACTTGGCCTCAGTCTCACACCAACCAATGTCAAACAACAATGGCCATCAATGATAATGGGCAGTTCAAACTTGCCCTGGTAACTCACTCCATATCTTCCACAAACAAACAAACAAACAAGCAAGCAATCAAGTAGATCTTCACACTTCTTGTACAAACAAATTCACGTCACTTAATTGGTCAACATAATTAAAAAGGTAAAATAATTGGAATATTGACTCATACAACCAGATATCTAAATTGTCTTAATGATTATGACTGGAGATAAAGATTGTTAATAGAATTCAACTCTTGTAACACACAGAATATCTTTACAATTATGCATCTCTTGTTACCTCATTTACATCAGTTGCTTTTGCCAAAGGAACCACTGTTGTTTGCTCCAGCCGTTTAACACTAATTCAAAATCCCATTCACAAGATCCTGAAGTTGTGCATAAAATGTACACAGCCAGTAAAGATTAGATTCCAGATCTCCTCGTAGCATCCTATTCCTTTTGAAAAGGAATCCCAAAAGTCATACATTTATCAACATTTCTCCCTGCTCCTTCACCCTGACCCTCCCCATACTAAAAAGTGTAATTTCAATTCCTGTATAATACATTTCAAAACAGACAGAATTCAAATTCTAATCACAGACAATAACAATGTTTCTTGACTGTATTTTTTGACACCACTCCAACATCTTCAAATTATTCCACTGGCTGAGACAATTCTAATACCCAAGGTCTCACACCACAAGTAGAGAACTTTGAAATATGAAGAACAGTTTAGAAAGAGAAACACAGGCAGCACGAGATCCGAATGCTGACTTTCTTCTCCTCCTTTCCCCTACTTGGATCAAAAACACAAAACTCAGTTCCAGGGTACAGTGGCGAGTCTCTGACATCAAAAGCAGCTACAAAAGATCTTTCTGAAAACTATATTCTCCAATAACTACACTGCTAACCATTTCTATTTTATTGTGATCTTAATGCATGGTATGTGTAAACAGGAACAGATCCAAAATATTTGATAGATGTTCCAATTCAAGAGTTAATGCAATTAGCCTGATAGATTTTGCATTAAATTTAGTTCTCCTTTTCAAACTTCACTTTGCTCACATGTTGGATGATCTTAAATAAAACTCAACTATCTGGCTGTTACAGGGAAGAACAACCCATACTGTATCTCTTAATAGTGCTCACTCCCTTCTCTGCCACAGCTAATATTGCATTGCTTTGACAAACGCCAAGGCCTTGCACTAGTTGGAAAGGAATCAAGAATCTCCTGACAGGTGGGCAACTGCTCCTGACATCTTTCTGGATGGAAGCAAGCGTTTGGATCTTATTTAAAATAGCCAGAGCGATGCTATATCAGACTTAAGCTACACAGCTAGTTTGTGCATTACTCATTTTAAATTCTCATCAGTTGACCTACATAGACATTGAAATGGAGTCTAAAACCCTCTTAGAGGTTGAGCTAGTGTATTAATGTTTTATGCAAGCAGTGTCTATGCACAGACACACACAGAACTCATTTGATACATAATGATAGTCTTATCCTCAGGGTCATCATTTTGAGTTGCGTTGGATAATGAACTTTTTCTCAAATAGTTCAGTCATATATTTTATTGAGAAACCAAACATTACAATCAAATGTCCACATTGGTAGTGAAGAATCTCATTTGCTGAAGTTTCCCCAATTACAGACCTTCATCATTTACTGAGTTGTCAAAAACATCCTACAGACTGGATGCTGGCAAATGTAAACCTACTATTTACGCAACAAGGGGTATTTAAAAACAGAGAGGGGAATTGCTAGAGTCTACTATTAAAGAGTGGAGCTTGGTTAGCTCAGCTGGCTTTGCTGAAGAGCGACTGCAACAGCACGGGTACAATTCCTGCATTCGCTGAATTTACAATGAAGGACTCTCCTTCTCAACCTTTTCCCCTCACCTGAGGCATGGTGACCCTCAGGTTAAACTAACACCAGTCATCTGTGATCTGGTAAGATTATAACAACTTTAACTTGATAGAAAGACATGACAACAGCATTAATGGGATTAGACAAAGTCATCATGGGTTTATGGAAAGGAAATCATGCTGAAATAATCCATGATCTTTTGAAGATTAGAAAGTAGAATAGATAAGGGAGAACTAGTGAATGGATTTGGATTTTAAAAAAAGGGTCATGCTAAGGTTCCACATAAGAGGCTAGCGGGGAAAGTTAAAGCATATGGGATTGTGGTAATGCACTAGCATGGATTGAGAACTTGTTGCCAGACTGAAAGCAGAGAGTGGAATAAATGTCTTTTTCCAGGTAGCTAGCAGTGACTAGTGGTGTACCACTGGGATCATTCCTAGGACCCCAGCTATTCACAATGTACACAAATAACTTGGATGAGAAACCAAACGCAATACTTCAGAGCTTGCTGACCACACAGAACTAACTGGAACAGAGAGCCACAAGGAGAACGCAAGACAACTTCAGGGAGGTCTAGATAAGTTAAGTGAGTGGGGAAACATCTGGAGGTTGCAGTGTAACATAGATAAATGTAATTTGATACACTTTGGTGTGAAAAAGAAAAAGGCACAATATTACTTAAACACATTGGGAAATGTGCGCGCATAAAGGGATCAGAATGTCCTTGTACACCAGACAATGAAAGTACACAGGCAGATGCAGCAAACAATTAGGACAGCAAATGGTAATTTGGTCTTCAGTGAAAGAGGATGTGAGTTCAGGGGTAGGGATGGTTTTCTGTAGTTTTAGAGAGACTTAGTAAGACTGGACCTGGAGTGGTGTGTGCAGTTTTAATCTCCCTATCTAAGGTAGGATAGACTTGCCAGAGAAGGACTGCAGTAAAGATTCACTAAGATGATAACAGTGATTGCAGGACTTTTGCATGAGGAGATATTGGCCCGAGTGGACCTGTATTTGCTGGAGTTTAGAAGAAAAAAAAAAGAGGAGCTCTGATTGAAAGATATACAATTCTAACAAGGCTAGACAACCTGGATTTAAGGAAGATTTTTCCCGTCTAGGGAGTATAAAACCAGGAGTCACAGCCTCAGGACACAAGGTAGGCCATGTTGGAGTGAGACAAGGTGGAATTCACTATCACAGAAGGCCGTGTCGCTGATTATATTCAGGAATGAGATTGATAAATTGAGATATATACAGGCACTGAGGGATACGGAGAGACAACAGGAATATGACTTTGACTTCGAGTCAGCTATGATTATACTGAATGGTACAGCAGACTCAAAGAATCAAAAGGCCTACTCCTGCTGTGTTTCTAAGAACTGGTGATTGATTGAGGACGGCAAAACCTAAACACAAGTGACTCAAACTTTATTGTTATTCTGTGTAAAGCCAACTTATTTGTTTAAATGCTGCCATCTGATGCTTGGACACTGAAGTAACTGAACTTGTGCTGGGATTGATTTCCCTTGTGTTGTGGCCACAAATAAGCAGAGTCTTCTATGAAACACCAATTTCTTCTTGGACTAATAACAATTACCTAAAAAATCCAACAACTCGGGACTTGATGCGAGAGTTGCGTCCTTAGCAATGAATCTGAAGATTTCATCAAAAATGACTCTTCTTTCCCTGATATCAGCCTCCCCTACGAATAAAATCTTTCTCGGCATGGGGGGCAGTTTTTCATTCGGATACTGGTTGCTCAGCTTTTGATACAAATCATCAATCTCACTGTACTTCTTGGGTACCTGAAAGACAGCAAAAAAAAAGAAAAAATCTTTTGTTTTACTTTCCAAACATCAATTCTAAGCCAGAAAGTACTTAACTGACAGAAGGGACTGGGACTAGCCTGTGAGCAAAGCTCTGGCATTTGCTGATGACTGCTCAACACAACCCATACTTGCTTTGATTGGAGGCTACAGAAAAACTGGTCTCAGCTTCCAGCAGTTGGCCCTATTTGTCAGGACAAGCAGCAAGGTCTTCCAGTGTGACAATTGCTGCTAAACCACACACCTCTCAATGCTGGGAGCTGAAGACACTGACCTCTAAGGTCAATCTTCTGCTGGATGACAGGTGAGGTTATAAGCTTTTAAAAGATAACTGTCCATCCACCAGGCTGCTCTCTACCATGCCCACCCTGTGCCAGTCAGTGGGTCTGAGGAGTGGCAGGAATGAGGAGGGCAGCAGGGGGCAAAAATAAGAAACAAAAGCCAATTCAATTTACAATAATTATAACCCGATCTTCATTTCCTATACAATGTGGTACATATTTGAAGGGCAGAGTTCTCAATTTGCATCCCTGATTTTCAGCTCTGACAAAAACACAATGCTGTTCAGGGCAAGTTCTGAAATTGATGGTCCCTGTCACTTGAAAAACGTTAACAGCAGAGGAATCCATTTTAGATAAACTGGAACTTCTGGAAATATCTACCAGGAAAATAGAACGTGTCCATGGGACTTGGAGCAGAGCACTAAATTGAGTATATTTAAAAGACTATGGAATGAACAAACTCAGGAGGATGAACTCTGTTGAGTGTGCAGCAATGTTTTCAACCCATGATCTTTATTGAAGTGAACCCAAAAGTCTGCCTATTGTACATGCCTAATGTTAGAGCTTATACGACCATGGGAGACTAGGAACCACATTTGTACATAACTGCTTTCAGTTCAAACATTAATTTCATACAAAAAGACAAAGCAATGCAAACATCATGTATAAAGTTACCCAAGTTACTACCATTCTCATGCATTAACAGTTTGTTGTTCCCATTAGTGTCTGTGTTTGTATTGTACACATTCTCCTTAAATCACACTGGTTTCTTAATGGTAGAGAGGAGTCTCACTGACAAAATTCATTGATGCTTGACATAGGGTAGTGAAGTCTATTCAGGGCTTCATTTGGCTAAATGCATACTTTGAGCTTTCCTGGCTGGTTATACTGGTACCTTCCTGTTAAATCATTCTGTAGGATGTCACTTCCTTGATTATTTCCATCTTTTCCACACTGGTCTTTCAGAGCAGCTTAAAACTTTCCTCAGCAAATGCTGAATTGATCAACTTCAAGATAATAATCTTCTCAAAAAAGCCTGTAAAGATAGGGTCATTCTCTTCTAAAACCTATCCCACAGTCAATGGTTTAGTGTGCTTTGACATGTTGCGAACATCTTTTGGCACATTGAAGGTTACCAGTCCAAGCTATAGACTTGTTCTAGCGGAGATAAGTGGCACTTGCTTGTGGCCTTTAAACCAGATCCTCATTCATGTTACCGAAGTGGGCTGGCAGAGTCGTCTGTCCTCTCAGCATGATCATGTATAGGCTTAAGCTCACTTTCAAGGGCTTCATTTTTGAATTACCAGGTTGAGCCACTTTGCAGTCTGTGAAGGTCATGATGTTGCGTGACGCACTAGTATCTAACTAGTATTTTATGCTGACTCCATGTTCTCCTTTTGCAGTCCTCAACCCATCAGTTACAAACTAGTCGCACCTACCAACTTGATTAAACCAAGTTGGCTCAGAGCAGCTTAGCAGAATTTGCAGCTGTTACCTCTCCAGTGGTAATCTGGACCTGCCTGTTAGCTTCGCCTCCAATATAGACTCATGTGCAAAATGATTTGGTTTCTTGCAGTGAGAACACTGCATTTCCTTCACTGCACAATGCTTTCTTTTGCTTTGCATGATGTCCCCTGCAGCATTTAAATTCTGCCTTTTGCCTGTGATTGTTTTATCCTTTGTGCCCAGAGGATCTGTTAGCATAAACTAGCCTGTTCTGCCATGAATTTGATCTTGCTGATTCATTACCTCAGCGCTTCAGCACTTGAACAATATAGTGACCCTCAAAAGGGAACAATTTGCACCTCCCCAGACAGAGACAACAGTCTGTACCCTCAGTTGCTTGCAATCAAAATTTAAGCCTTACTGCATTTCTGGATTTTAATCCATCAGGTTTCACTATGAAGCAATCTGAAGATGCTGTGTGGCAACCATTTTGATTAAAGCACATAATTCAAAATTCTAGATGCAAATCCACCTCATTTATTTGAGAACGTCATCCCTTTAAGAGTTTTCTGGGGCTCCACCTCATGTGTTTTTGCCCCAAGCACTATGCAGAGTGCAATGGTCTGGTGGTATTATCACTAGACTGCTAATGCAAATAAAAAGAAGTCAGTTCATATTCTAGAGGCGTGAGTTCAAATCCTGCCAGTTCAGCTTCTACTTTCTGCCATTGCTGTGGAACCCCTGTCATTCATCCATCAAAATGGCGCACAGTTGCAACTTTGCTGTGTAGTAAATGGGGCGGTGGGGGGGAAGAAGAGGTGAGACACTTAACAAGACCTGGGTGTCCTTGTGCGCCACTCACTAAAAGAAAGCCAATACAGTGTGGAGCTGGAGGAACACAGCAAGTCAGGCAGCATCACAGGAGCAGTAAAGTCGATGTTTCGGGTTTACACCCTTCATCAGGGTGTTTATCTGATGCTGCCCTACCTGCTCTGTTCCTCCAGCTCCACACTATAATGACTCCGACTCCAGCATCTGCAGTTCTTGCTCTCACTAAAAGTAAGCCTGCAGGTGCAGCAGAGAATAGAGACTGTCATGCGGTTTATTTTCCATGCAAGCCTCATTGCACTCTATATCCGTGTCCTTCTATTCTACAAGATCCAAACCCCCCCTTTAATTGCATCATTACCATCTATTTTAGCCACTTGCGTGTGGTGGGAGGATTCCCATCATTTTAATTACTGACAAATTAGCTCTTTGCATCAAGTGCTTCCTTTCCCCAGCTCTGGGATTCCAGTTTCTCCAAATCTACCACAAAATAATTTGTAATTTTAAAATTTTGAAAAGACAAAGTAAATCAACAGATCTAAATCTTCCCTGGTAGTAGCACTCTCTCCTTCCTCGTTCAAAAAGAAAACCTTCTAAATCCATTCCCCCCCCGGCCATCCAAGTGTTGCAAATTCCTTTTTGTAAGATGGGAGATCAAACATAGATAGAATGAGTCAAGCAATCACACTTCTCAAACTATCACCTACGTGCTCAAACCTTCAACTTTAGTGCCATCTAATGGCTTCCCCAAATCATTACATCTGCTATAGGAATGCAGACAGGGCAAAGAATTTAAATTCTTTTATTATTTGTTCATGAGATGTGGCATGAAGGGTTAGCGAGTATTTATTGCCCATCCCCATTTGCCAGAGCGGTAGTGAGTTGTGTTGTTGCAGCAGTACTTGGGGTGTGGGGATGCCTACAGTGCTATTAGGCAAGTTTCAAGATTTCAACTCCAAATGATGGCATAGTTTGTCAGTCAGATAGACATGTGGCTGCAGGGAACTTGCAGGCAGTGTCCCATGTATCTGCTGCCCTTGTTCTTTTACATGATAAAGTTCATGGGTTTGTAGGTGCTGTCAAAAGAGTTATCAGTGAGAATGCAGCAAGTGCAGATGCCACCATGTGTCGGTGGTGAAAGAGCTGGATGTGGTGCCAATCAAGTGGCTGACGTAGTCCCTGATGGTGTCACCTTTGAGTGCTGTTAGAGATGTACTCCCCCACCTTGCCTGGATAGGTGTACCATCGCAGTCTGACCTGGACCTTGTAGACAGTGGACAGGCTTTGGGGATGATGTGGAGGTGAACTTGTCACTGCAACATTTTAGCCTCTGAACTTATCTTGTAGCCACAATATATAGTTTGATTCAAATGTAAAACACAGAATAAAAACAAAAGAACTGTGGATGCTGGAAACTAGAAAAACAAAAACAGAAATTGCTGGGAAAAGCTCAACAGGTCTGGCAGTAGTCTGTGGAGAGAAATCAGAGTTAATGTTTCGAGTCCAGTGACCCTTCCTCAGAACTGATGTAGTGAGGAAAAAGTTGGATTTTACGCAAAAGAAAAGGGTAGGGGCAGGGGATAAAGAATAAACAAGAGAGAGAAGACCAGTTGGACAGACAAAGGAGTGGGTAATGTTCTGACTGGGACGCTGAATAGCTGTTAAATGGGGACTGTTAGTGGCAAACAACAGGTTGTTTGTAATAGCAGACCCTGTGACAACAAGGCCTGGTGTGTGGGGGTTACGGAAAGGACATGGGAGAAGGTGCCTCAAGCCCCAAAAATTATAGAACTCCATACTGGAGACCAGAAGGCTGTAGAATTCCCAAGCGGAAAATGAGGTGCTATTCTTCCAGCTTGCACTAAGCTCCGCTGGAGCACTGCAGCAAGCCTGAGACAGAGACGTTGGCGTGGCAGGCAGCTAGAAGCTCAGGGTCCTTTTTGCGGGCAGAACATAGATGTTCTGCGAAGCGGTCACCCAGTCTATACTTTGTTTCCCCAATGTAGAAGGGACTACATTGTGAGCAGTGAATGCAGTAGACTAGATTGCGCGAAGTGCTGTTTCATCTGGAAAGTGTGTTTGGGCCCTTGGATACACAGGCGAAAGTGAAGTACAGGTGTTACACCCTCTGCAGTTGCAGGGGGAAGGTGGTTGGGAGTGGAAGAGGAGTGGACCAGGGTGTCCCGGAGGGAACAGTCCTTGCAGAATGCCGACAAAGGAGGGGAGGGGAATGTGTGTCTGGTGGGGGCATCCCAATATAAAGATCGCGGAAATGGCAGCTAATGATCCTCTGGGTGTGGATGCTAGTGGGATGGTAGGTGAGGACAAGAGGGACCCTACTGCTGTTATAGCAGGGAAGAGAGGGATGAGGACTAAAGAGAGGGAAATGGGTCAGACCCAGCTGAGGGCCCTGTCAACTACAATGCTGGGGAATCCTAGGTTGAGGAAGAAGGTGGACATTTCGGAGGCTCGTTGTCAAATTTGGCATCATCAGAACAGAGAATGGAACAGAGTCTTTACAGAAAGCAGGGTGTGATGTTGGGGGTCATCACTGTAATGACTCGGTTAAAGAAAAGTGAATCAGCTCCTCCTTGTTTTTAATCCCCTCTCAGCCAGTCACAAACATTTCTATCTCCTTCACAGTACATATCACACTTCAATAAAAATAATGTGCTCATCAAAACTGAGGAGCCAATCACAAGGTTTTCCTGAGTGAAAGAAAGACAGACTTCTTGGGTAACGATGAACCACGACAAAAAAATGCCAAGACATCAAGTACACACATAGCTCCGGGAACAAGTTGAAAAACAAGAGACTGTCAGCACAGGGAGTAAGGATAAAAGCAACACAGTTTAAAAGTAATTTGACTCTTTGCAGGTGCTGGATTTTACCTCAGACCACAGTTGTTTAATGATTGTCTGGTATTCTCAACAGTAGCAGAGTCTGTAGATAGCTTTGGAAACATAGAATATAGGACCAGGTAAAGGCCATTTGGCCTTTCAAGCCTGCTCTGCTATTCAACATTATCCTGGTTGATCACACTCAGTATCCTGCTCCTGCTTTCTCCCCATATACTTCGAGCCCTTTAATCTTAAGATCCATATGTACATATTTCTTGAAAGTCAAAGTCAAAGTTGCACAGTACGGAAATCTTCAATGTTTTGGCCTCAACAGTTTCTTGTGGTAGAGAATTTCACAGGCAGTCTACTCTCTGGGTGAAGAGATTTCTCCTCAACTCTGTCCTAAAAGGCCTCTTCCTTAACCTGTAACTCACTGGTTCTACACTCTTCAACCACCGAGATCATCCTCCCCACAATAACCCTGTTGAATCTGCTTAGGATTTTATAGATTTCTAAGAGACCCTCTCATTCTTCTAAAGTCTTGTTAATATAATCCAAAATGATCCAGTCTCTCGCCATGTGACATTCCCACCATCCCAGGTATTAATCTGGTTTGCTGTGCTCCGTCAATAGCCAGAACATCCTTCCTCAGATAAGGAGACCAAAACTGCAGACAATACTCCAGAGGCATGGTCTTACCAATGCCCTGTATAATTGCAGCAAGACATGCCTATGCTCAAATCCCTTTGTTATGAACTCTAACATACAATTTGCCTTCTTCACTGCCTGCTGCACCTGCAATGTTTACTTTCAGCAAATAGTTTTCTACAAATTTGCTTTTTCACTGGGTGCTGTCTTCCAACATGAGAAGTGGGGAAGTGAGAGAGAGAGGGGGCGAGAGAAGGACAGAAAGACAGAGTGATGGAGAGACTTCCGAGTTCTGCTGTTATGAGGCATCATTCCTTCTCTCTGCAATAATACAGCTAGGTCTAGCCAAGCAATGGCTACACCCCACAAACTAGTGACATAAACCCAATGCCAATTCACCAGGGGGCTGCCTAGGAGCATTCATGCCTCATCTAAATGGGGTCAGAATTCCAATATTTGATGCACACTGAACCTACACATTCTGGACACTGGATTGTGGGCTGCACCCAATTCATGCTGGTACAAAATAATTTCTGGAACAAAAGGCTCAACATCCAAGAAGACAGGATAGTTCAAAGATAGTCTTGCTTGTCCTATTGAAAAGGGTAAGCCTTCTTTCTCAAAGCAAGGCCAAAATGTCAGTCATCGTACTGCAATTTTCAGTAAATACTTGTTTCTTTTTTAAATTCTCCAGTTTTTAAATCAATCATGCACCCTTCCTCACCATAAATTGTCAAAATGGTGCAAGTAAACACCAACAACTAGTTTATAACATTTTCTGCACCAAAAGCACTTGAGTGCAACTGAATGTACAATGACACAGACTTTGTCAGATTCTCTGCTCCAAACACAAGTGAGTGAATCAATACAGTTTGCCAAGAAATGGATAGACTGGTGACTTGCAGATTTCTGAACACCTTGTTAGGTGGCATGAGTACAGTTATTTTAAACTAACTTTCTCAATAACAGTGGAAAATTGTTTTTTAAACTTATTAATTTTACAAGTAGAATCAAACATAGGGAATAATAGGAACCCCACACTGTGCAAGCAGGCCATTTGACTCCGAGTCCACGCCAACCCTCCAAAGAGCATTCTACCCAGACCCATGCCCCCCTCCCCTATCTCTGTAACCCTGCATTGCTATGGCTAATCCACTCGGCCTGCACATCCCCGGACACTATGGGCAATTTAGCATGGCCAATCCACTTAATCTGCACATCTTTTCAAATGTTGGACTGTTGGAGGAAATCCACGCAGACACGAGGAAAACGTGCAAACTCCACACAGAGACCCACCGAACCCTGGCGCTGCGAGGCAGCAGCGTTAACCACTGAACCATCGTGCTGCCAAAATGCATTGCGAAATATTCTTCTTCACTTACCACTAACTGAACAACATCTTTAGCCTTGTGCTTTGCCGACTTGAAGGAGGCCAGCTGAGTGACAACAACAATTTGATACTCCACGTGCCCTGACATCAGCTTGCCATGGATTTCCTGGTACTCTGGGACGGCCAGGTCTATTCCAGTCTGCAAGTTCTGGATTGACCTGAATTGAAAACAAAAAAAAAAAAACAAACAAACAATCACAAGAAAGTATTCTTCACTGAAAACATTTTAAGAAAACAGCCTCTCAATGGCTTTGCAACTATCTGACAATCCTACTTAGGAAGTTTCAACGGCAGTTTGTGTTACCCAAACACCATAAAATGGAATTGTGGATATCCCTAGAACATTCTGAATTGAAGCATGTTATTTTCATGATTTCCCCAATGCTGCCATGTTAAACACAGTCACTACCAAAACACGCAAAGTGAAAACTGTCACTTAGGTAAGGAAGCTACAGCCAGACACCCAATAGTTATTTAAAAAGTCATACCAATTATAAAGAAACATTATTAACAATTGAGATATTTTGAGTCTCTTTACTGTTCAAAATGCAACCCATCCTTGGATTAGGCAGCTGTGTATTAGTTGTCAATATTCTGTAATTTGACACAATGGTGACAGCTGCATCAAATCCATTACTGTATGATTCCAGCGCTTGTCAAATCAATGCTAAAACCAATTGTGGGCCCTATCTCTATCTGAACACTGGTATAACCAGACCATTCAGTAATAGTACAGCATTTATAAATACATAATATGATCAAGCTTCACAAAGGGGAAATCATGCTGATAAATTTACCAGAGTTATTTGAGGTGGTAACAAGCAGGATAGATAAACGGAAAGAAGTGGATGTAATATACTTGATTTACAAAAGGTGTTTAATAAGATACCACACGTTAGGCTTCTTAATAAGAGCCTGTGGTGTTGAAGGTAGCATATGAGCATGGACAAAGGATTGGCTAACTAATAGAAAACAGGCAGTTGGGATGGGGGGACATTTTCAGAATAGCAACGTTCAACTAGTAGAGGTCACAGGGATCAGTGCTGAGACACCCTTCTTTACAATATATTATGATGGTTTGGATGAGGGAAGTAAACATGCTACAGCTAAGTTTGCAGACAGCAAAATTAGGTGGTAAGGCAAGTAGGGACGGTGACATTGTTTGCAAAGACATATGGGACAAGTTACATAAGTCAGCAAAAACTTGGCAGCTGGAATATAAGGGAAAATATGAAATTTGCACTTTGGTAAGAAGAACAGAGGTGTGAATATTGTTTAAATGGTGAAAGACTGCAGGAAGATACAGCACAGAGGGATTTGGGAGTCTTGTACCTAAATCAAAAAGCTAGCATCCAAGCTCAGCAAGTAACTAGGAAGGCAAATGGACTCTTACCATTTATTTCAAAAGGGAACAGAGTATAGAGAGGCCTTGCTAAAACTATACAAGGCACTAGTTAGTCCACACCTGGAATACTGTAAACTGTTTTGGTCACGCTATTGTAGTTAATATTGTCATTGAAGGCAGAGCAGAGAAGGTTCACAACATTCAACCCAGTTATGGAGGGATTGCCTCACGAGGAGAGGGGAGGGGAGGGGAGGGGAGGGGAGGGGAGGAGGTTGTGCCTGCAGTCATTTGCAGTTTTGAAGAAAGACAGGTGACCTTATTGAAACAAAAAAGATTATTAGGGCACCTGACAGTAGATGCAGAGAGGTTGCTTCCCCATACTGGATAGTCTAGGAGCAGAGGACATAATCTCGGAGTAAAAGGAGTTGCACAGTTAAGGACAGAGATGAGGAGGAACTTACTCAGAGTAGTGAATCTGGGATTCCTCATTGCAGAGCGCTATCTGGGCTGGGTTAAGAATATTCAAGGTTGATATTGATGGATTTGTAACCAGGAAGGGGATCAAGAGCACTATGACACCATAGGAAGAGGCAGGAAAGTGGAGGTCACGATTATCAGATCGGTCATGATCTCATTGAATGGTGGAGCAGACTCAATGAGCTGTATGGCCCACTTCTGCTCCTACATCTTATGATCTTACTAACACACACTTCTGTGCAAATTCATGTCATTTTCAGAGGCAACAGTAAGGAATCACTTAATAAATATGTTCAACGACTTGAACTATCTTTTTGGTATGTTATTTAAATTGCACAGAGTTCACTTTGTTAGCAGCAACATTAAGTAGTACCAGTTAGAGTATTATCCACCACACACCCTTATCACAATGTGAGTTGCAATTAGAGTAATTGGGATATTTCTTACAACGATAAGCATTTATCTATCTATCAGCAGTACATTTAAAAAGACCCATGTTTTCCACAGGATAGGGGAGTCCAAAACTAGAAGGGATAGGTTTAAGGCAAGAGGGGAAAAATTTAAAAGGCGCAACTTTTTCCACACAGAGGGTGGTGCATGCATGGAATGAGCTGCTGACGGAGGCTGGTACAATCGCAACATTTAAAAGGCATCCGGATGGGTACATGAATAGGGAGGCTTTAGGGGAGTATGGGCCAAATGGGACAAGATTAATTTAGAATATCTGGTCAGCATGGACAAGTTGGACTGAAGGGTCTGTTTCCATGCTGTACATCTCTATGACTAAGTTGCTTCACAGAACATTCCAATTAAATGTGACACCAAATGTTTCCTTCTGTGATTAGGATAGATAGCCAAACTTTGGTCAAATGTGTAGAATTTAAAGAGTGTCTTAAAAAGGACACAAAGGAGAGGGTTAAAGTGGAAATTGCAGAGCTTAGATCACAGGTAATTCCAGCCAATGGAAGTGAAAACCAAGGACGCAGTGTAAATATCTCAAGGCTGTGGGGTCTGCAGAAGACTACAGCAATGGGGAGGGGCTGTACAGAGATTTGAAGGAAGCGAGAAATACAAATCAATGTAGACTGGTGAGCACAGAGTTGATGGGTGAACAGGACTTGGGTCAGTTAGGATGTGGGCAGGAGAGTTGTGGTTGAACTCAAGGTTACAGAAGAGACCACAGGAATGGGTGAGCCTAGAAGCAATAAAAGCTTATTACTCCACAAATCGAATAGCAACACAGCCTGGCACCCGCAGGACAGGGAGAAATCACAGGACAGGGAGAAATCACAGCCAGCAAAGAATACTGAGATAACAAGGTGTAGAGCTGGATGAACACAGCAGGCCGAGGAGCAGGAAAGCTGATGTTTCTGGTCTGGACCCTTCTTCAGAAATGGGGGAGGGGAAGGGGATTCTGGAATAAATAGAGAGAGGGGGAGGTAGATGGAAGATAGATAAAAGAGCAGATAGATGGAGAGAATACTGCTTTTTCTTAAACAGAAAGAAGCATTTCCAGCCGTGGGAAAGGAGCTAATTTGTTTTATCAGCAACATAATATTTGTTCACTGCAAGAGCTTGGCCAAGACTGAAAAAGCCAAATAGATCTATTTGGCTCCAAAGGACAAAGAGAGAATCCTTCAGGCTTGCAATACTGTTGAACCTCCAGCTTAACGAACTGGTTAAATAAGTGAACGTAAAGATGTGTCCTTGTCTTAAGCACTTAATGTCAGCTGGTTAAAAAGTGCATAGTATTGCATTCAAGAATTAAATTTCAAGAGGGATCAAATGTGTATCATGTATAAAGTTGGTCGACACTGTGGTCCAGCAAATCTAATGTCCACTTCTGCCCAAAATCAGGGCTGATATTCCCAGTTTGCTTTTTAATCCACTTTCCACCTAAACCCACAGTTTAAACACAGACTGCGAACAGAGAGTGAGGCTGCCTTGTTTAAACGCGGAAGATCACCCCCTATCGCACCAGTGTGACATTTCCCAGCCTGTAATTCCGAGGCCTTCGCGAGAATGCAAATCTAGTGCTCAGATCATTTAGTGCACTTTCCAACGGAGAGGCTGCCTTCCACAATTATTACAAAACTGCAGCAGTTAATTCATTTCAGAAATAAAGCAAAGGACAGTCCTCCCTTCCTACAGGACGCGAGCTTCCACTTCTGCGCTCAAGTTGCTTCATTCTCGCAGTGTTTGTACTTCTGTCGATGTCTTAACTTGAGCTCAAGTGGCAAGACGGAAATATTTTTTTACAAAAATAGCTGAAAGCGGAACCCCGAGCAGGAAGAGCCGCGGAATCAATGGGAGAGATCGGCGATTAAAAACAGAAATAGCTGGAAAAAGCTCAGCTCTTTCGGG